TCTTTATTTTGTTTTAAAAATATAAAACAGTAATGATTGCTTATCTTGATTAGGTTAATAAAGCTACACACTATTAGAGAGAGACCTTTGGGTTTTTCAATGCATTTTATTTTAATGCATGCTATTATTCCATTTAAAAAAGATATTTAAGAGAGAGAGAGACCTTTAGGTTTTCCAAGCCTTTTATTTTAATGCCTGTTATTATTGCATTTAAGAGAGAGAGAGAGAGAGAGTAGTAATAATATAAATAGGTTGAGGTTAAACAATAAAAAAATTATTAATTTAAAAATCCACTAAATGTTAATATGTAATTGTTAATTATTAGTGAAATAATTATATATATATGTATATAATTAACATTTTTAACAATAATTACAAAAGATAACTTTTTTTTTCAATTTTGATTAATTTAAAAAAAAGTACTTATGTTATATACTTATTAAATTATTACTAAATTAATATAATATTATTTTATATATAAGTATATATATATGTGCTATATATATTTTTTTATACTAGAATAGAATTATATAAAAATTTTAATATGTAAAAAATCATAGTTTTATAATTAAAACATGCCTCCTTAGCAAAAGAAAATGTGCAAGCCTGAGTGTGAGCCCGACTCGACCATCGGGCCTAGATCTTGAGCCCAAGCCGGAAGCCTGATCTGTACACAAAATGTCTTATTTTAAATATACTTTTATAAACTAATATTATATTAATTTAGTAATAATTTAATAAATTAATAAACTAATTTATATTTCTTAATAGTAAATTGATATTTATTAAAATTTAAGAAGTATATATTATATTTATTATATATAACATAAGTACTTTTTATATATGTAATAGTATTGGGCCAGGCTTAGGCCTGGGTTGGGCTTATTTGAGAAAGCCCAAGCTCAAGCTCACAGGTTGGGTCGTCAGGCTACCCAACCCATGAATAGGTCTAATTGTATAAACAATTGTATACATTAAAAATCTTATGAAATAACAATTTAAACATATTTTTTATTTTTTTTTAAATGGACCTCTTATAGCTTGGCCCGGGTTGCGACCTAGCCTGGCTGAAGGCTCGACCCATGGACAAGCTTGGCCCACGGCACGACATAGGCCCGTACGGGCTCGGCCGTGGGTTGCGTCGAACTAAACCCCCAAATTGTCCTAGGGGAGGGAGGCACGGCCAGGGATGCCTCATGGGCCAGCATGGCACGATCCACACAAAGTGTGAGTTACATGCGGGTCGTGCCATGCAACACAATACGACCCAATTTACACCTCTACTTGAACTGCCCAGTACTAGGGATGGGGCGGGGAAATTCGAGGATTCCCCATCCTTGATGAGGAGTGGGGTGACTTGCCCCTAAACCCGCCCGACATTGAGGAGTGGTTACCTTGTCTTGAACTTGCCTCACACTAGGGATAGGACGAGGATGGGGTAGAGTGTCTTGACATTGAGGAGTGGTTACCTTGTAATTATTTTTATTTATTTAAAGTTAATCAAAATTTCATTTAAAAATAATAACAATTATGAAAATTACTAAAAATTATTAAAAATTTTAATTTATTAAAAAATATTTGTTCATATTAAATTAATAATAATTATTCTCTGTAAATCAACATTAAATGAAAAATACGATTATTAAAATTTTAGATATTAACAATAACTTTGAATACTTTTAGTTAATTAACAACAAATTTTGATTATTAATTTAATATCAATTAATAGTAATTAATGTAAATACAATTATTAACTTATGATAATAATTAATTTCTGTTCAGTTACAGATTCGTCTTACAGATTTCTTTACAGTTAAAATTTTCTATTTTTAAAGGCTGTAGTATTGGAACATAGACGGATGCATGGGTCATGTGCCCCTTCATTTATTTTACATTTAAGCATTGTAACCCACCATAATTATGAAAAAGCCGTAATAGCAAGCACCCGATACTATTCAATTCATAACCAGATTGGACCTACCAATAAGACATGTTGAATTGGGCTAGTCTGGACTTGATGGTCCAAGGTATTTATTGGATTGGATTGGACTTGATCCATCTGTAATGGATTTATATTGGATTGAATTAAATTGAACCAATATCTGATCTATTGATAAAAGATAAGAATACAAGTGTCAATAGACTAGGTTTCAGTTTGAAGCAATCTAAATTAAAACCAATTTCAGCAGATTGGACGGTCCAAATATTGAATTGGATTGGCCCTAAATGGTCTAGAGTATTCTTCGGATTGGATTGGACCTGGTCCATATGTAATGGACTCATAATGGACGAGATGAGATTGCACCAAATCATGTTCAATTCACATCCCTAATTTTATATAGGAGTTAGAATCCATTTAAAAGAAGGCTCTAGTTCTTAAAACATGAGATATGTGGCAAGTAGGCACTGACTCTAACAATGATGAGATGGAGGAGGACAATGGTACCGTAAGTGTACTTCTAATAATACATTAACAATTAAGGCCATGTTTGGGAGTGCTTAATTTAAAAATAAGTGATTATTTGAATAAACACTTATTTGTATTTGGCATCCAACTTTTTCAAGTGCTTATTTTTACTTATTTTATATTGGGTGTTTGGTAGTTTTTTCTCCAATAAGCACTAAAATAAGCATTTGTGACTATTTTGACAATTTTCTTCCAAATTTTCAAAATATACCCTTACGAAAGTACTTTATTATTTTTTTTTATAAAAACACTTTTATGAATGTACTTTTGCGAAAGCACTTTTAAAAAAATAGTTTTATGAAAGCACTTTTACAAAATTCAAATGGAATTGTTTTATAAGTGATATTTTAAAATTCAACTAAGGATAATTTTAGAAGAAAAAAATTGAATAAGGGCTTAAAAAATAAGCCCTTATTTTTAAAATAAGCACTAATTTTGGGCTTATTCCCCAAATACCAATAAATACTTAATGGTCAAAATAAGCACTTATTTTTAAGCACTCCCAAACATGGCCTAAAAACAACACTCAAGACTCCACAGTCCACATATGACCAACATTAAGTTTCTTTGTATTGATCAAGGTTCATAAAGATGAACCCAAAACTTAGCATCTATAGGCTATTAGTCCCATTACCTATTTTTACATTATGTAATATCAAAATTATAAGGATTGTTCTTGTACACTAATTTCAATGGTATAAAAAATTAATGTTTTTAAAATTGATCCAAAAATAAAACTGTGTTTTCATCTGAGTGGCAGGTCCATAGTTCAAATGTGGTATAGTAATTAGATAATAAAATAAAAATATAAAAAATATATATATGAAATATAGAAAATTTGTTAAAAAAGACACATCTCTAACATTATATATTCTTCATGCTGGACAAAAATAAGCGTGTAACAAATAATAATTACTTTTTATTAATGATGAAAATAGAATATTAGTAAATAAGGAAAAAAAGAGAATTAATATCTAATTAGATTAAGGCAAATGGTTTAGCAATCAAATCAAATGGTTTAACAGTTCGACTAATATAATTGGGTCACCAAGTTATTGACTGAGGCAATAGTTACTTGCAACTATCAATTCAATTTTGAAAAAGGACCCAGGAGGTTGAGTGATGGATTGATAGTCCGATTAATTCATTTGACCATGGGTTATAACAATGCTTTAAAAATTGACCTGAAACTCAAATCGCTTAGGCCACGGATTTCGGATAAGAGGTTCGATTGTCTGGTCCAAACGGATCAGCCTGTTACACTTTAAAATATTAAAAAAATAAATAATTAAAATAAAAAGTTGGCCCAAAATCTATTGTTCGGGTCAAATGGCTTGCTAATTCGATTGCTTGGGTTAGTGGGTCACTGATCAATTCAATGATTTTTGGAAAATAATGGTTCAGAGCTGAAATGGACCCGATACCTTGACCCATTTCTGGGCCAAGCAGTTCGGCTGTCTGGGTTTAAAACCTTGGGTTAAAAACGTTCGAAAAGGCAAAAGCAATGTTTTAAAAAAACCGTTTGGAATTGCATTTCCCTCCAATCTCAATTCAGTAGTTTAACCACCTAGGTCAAACAAATCAATTCTCATTACTAATGGTCAATGGTTCAACTAATTGGGTCATCTGTTGACAAAATCAACTATTTAATAAAAAGGGGCTTGGGATGATAAAACCTATAAAATTTGGCTAGATGACAAAATTAGCAGGTCTAATTATCCTGTTCAACCACAGGTTGAAAACATTAACGTGAACCACAAGTAGGAAATTTTCAAGATACTAGAGGTTGAAATGCAACTAATCAACCATCATATAATGTTTTGATCAAAATTATTATTATAAGAGGGCATTACACAATGTTGGTACTAGCTGTGTTTGCCAGCCCGAGGTTCCACCGTTATACAAATAGATGGCCCCTAATCTGGTTAAAATATTAGCAAATAACAAAGGGTTCAACTATGATACGGAAAAGATATGAAATCTGAAAAACTTCTAAACAGTCAGCTGGAATCATAAACGCGGTTGCAAATTAGGTGTTATTTATCAAAATTCATGTGTGGGTTTTGAATGGTCAAAACTCTTCCCATACCGTATCTTTTCCACATCATAAACGTTGTGCTGGTTGTTAACACTTTCTTTGTTTAACAATAAGAAAGGCCAAAGATAGCTGAATTCCCATCTAAATTACGTGACCATAACCTCTTTGAAAATTTTCGAAATCTATTTTTTTGAAGACAATAAATCTAAAATTTGAGACATGTGAAACATCTCACAAATATCTTGCAAAATTTTTGTAAGTAGGACAAAACTGTAATAGTTCATAGTTGTTAGAGATGAACTTGCTCTTTTATTTCTAAGAGAGAGAGAGAGAGAGAGAGAGAAGTTCTAACATACTATTTCTTATATGTTTTTGCTCTTTTATTTCTAAGTTCTAACATACTATTTCGAAAAAAACCACAAAGATCCCCAACACAAGTATTTCTCAACCCCCTAAACTGTAGATTGTATTTTCATTCTCATCGAAGATTCAAAAGCAAGTAGAATAACTGTAGTAGTAATAGTAGTAATCATCACCATCATCATCATTGTTACTATTATCCTCATCAATAAGACCAACACTTTAAAAGCCAACACAACACAACATCTCAATATGTTCAAGATTGGACAGCCACATCACAAATGCCAGTAATTTATGACAATATAAGACAGACCAAATCCGAAGAGTACATTCAAATCCACAAGGCACTGTCAATGCATCTATGACGATAAGGTCACTGCTACTCATGGCAAAGGCAAAGTTGCTGAAAAACCAAACCTTAGTATCTTCCATTGTAGGAATTTCCTACCTGATCCCCAAAGCCCAACCTTCTTTTCCACCCTCAACCCCTAAAGAAAAAAAAAGGAAACAAAAAAGAAAGAAAAGACAGGATGGAAGGTAGGATAAAAGACTTCTACGAATCGAAACCAGAGTTTCATACAAGGTGGTACCATGGTAGAAGGAAACCAATCATTGCAATATCTTCAAGATAGTCTGAGACATTGAGACATGGTCATACAATCAAGAAGTTTCTTGGAGACGATAAACTGTAATTTCTTGCTGCTTGAAATACCGTCGGTCCTCTTCATCCACAAGAACAAGATTCAAGTAATACTTCACACTGAATTTATTGTTGATGTTACGATATGTTGGAGTAAGTTCATATGGGCTCAGAAATAGTCTGATTGGAATTGATTCCCCTAATGGACAAGAATAAACATGTGTATATGTGAGACAGCTACTTCATGAGAAGCCTAGATAACTGTCTTAGATAAACCATAGTCGAACCAAGCCTGAGAATATATATGATGAAGATAAAGGAAGAAATACCCATTGCTGGATGATTTCCCCTTGCAATCAAACTAAAAAGCTAGCTTGATTAGAAGATTCAGAGCTAATCATGCTAATAACTTGATAATCTCATCACCGATTTAACAATCTTCTCAAAGAAGGTAAAATTATGGTGCTTAGAATTATCTACATGTGGCAACCTTTTGGCCTAAAAGATTTAAGCGTGACATAACACAATTAACATCTCACATTACAGTTCCCACAAGCACATGTGCCATGCACAATCCTTATATGTATTGAACTCATATCATTATCCCCTAATTGCATTAAACTTCATCTCTCAAACATAAATATGATACCTACTACATACGAGGGAAGAGATGCAACCTAAAGTGAAAAAGGATATCTGGATAAATATGGTACTATATGCAGAACTCAATAAGCACTTAAAAACAGTCACTGGATATACCTCTTACTGGAGCTCCATCCATCAATTCAAATTTTGCAAGGGTCTCTGTCTCAACATATGTATTAGGCCCTGATCCTGTTGATTCTCGACGTCTGATCTCAAGCTCCATATTTTTAATCTTAATTCTCACCAGAAGAAAATATATTTTACCAATGATTACATCCTTCAGATGATACCTGAAAATTTAACTAATTAGCAAAAAGAAATATGTCTGACTTTATCTGCAAAAAGATTGAAGGGATTGCACTTGCAATTAATAATTCCAACAGGAGTTCACTTACTTGCTTTTATTGTACTCAAACTCAATATGCAGGCAATCTTCAATTCCAACTTCCATCTACACAAAGAATCAACACTAAGAAAGAAGAAAGCACAACTAGCGTCCAATAAAACAGATAAACACATGAAGCCAATGACAGATGAGCATAATATTATATAATAATAGTATTTTGCCAATGAAAATAGACAAAAAAAAGGTTAATATAAAAATATTCCATCAAGGAAGTTGGCTATCTGCTATCCAATTCACAAACTATGAACACGAACCAAAATTGACGTCATCTGAAGCCAACAGACAACAGTGTGCAAATTAAAGGTTTACAATAAAAAGTAAGATGGCTAAAGAAAATATAGAATCTGTCATAACCACCAGCATCATACCATAATTGTTAGAAGACACATCTAAATGCACAAGCATTACTGGCATATAAATACCATAAAAGTTACAAGTCTTTTTTTAAGATAAAGTAAAAATTTTATTAAAACAAAAAAGAAGTACAAAGAAAGGTGATGAGCAACCACCCGAGGGAAATATGTACAAGTCTGACTAACCTTAATGCTGTTATTAATTGACGGAAGTGGTGTGTAATTATAAACCTGCAGAAAAAATAATATAAATCAAATCCATATGACACAAAATGGAATTGCCATATGTTTATATGTATGTACAGACAAACATATAAGCATGTACATGGTTTGTAATTTCCCCAATTTTGTTTTTCTTTAGTTTGATCAATAACAAAAGGAGAACTTCATTGAGAAAGTAAAAGGTACAGAAAAAGGCAAGCCCTCCAACATACAAGGGAGAACAATGATAAGAAATAATAAAGTGAAAGATATAAATACATGGGATAGTTGAACCCAAATATAACTAATCCTTTATAATTCCACTCCTAGCCAAACTATAAACCAAAAAGTTAGCTGACCTAGGGATTCAGATAAACTAGCTGTTGACTCTGGAAGACAGGGCTGAACTTCTACGATTGATGACTTCACCCAGAGTTCAATGGAACCTTCTCAAAATTTTCTTTGTTTCTTCAGTGAGGAAAACAATAACCCCTGGTAATATGAAACTCTCAAATTTCTGCTATTATTTCTTTTCTTTACATTTTGAGAAGTTCAACATATCAACAAACTTCTCAATTTGTCATGTGCTTACATTCTAAATTTCTTCAAAATATCATGGCAGTTTCACTGACCAAATCAACTAGAAGCCATCATCAATTTAGAAAACACCCCTAAACCACATAATTGCACCCAAAAAAATCATGAATTTATTGACTTTAGATAATGAATCACATAGCTGACCCATATGCTTGGGATAAGGCTTAGATGATGATGATGAGATAATGAATCAACATCTGTATTTAGTTTTTGCTTAGAAAAAGCTATTTTTGATGTTCCAATAAAATAACTTGTTTAACTTGTGGGAATAATCCTTAAAGCTAATGGTGGTCTGGGTATAAGACAGTTGAGGATATTCAACAATTCTCTGCTACGGAAATTGTTTTTGCAGGTTAACTAAAGAACTGGAGAGCTTATTGAGGCAAACACTTGTAGTGGTTAAATATGGTTCGATGGCAAAAAAGTGGAACCAGGGAGAATCTAGACTTTGGAAAGGTGTCGAAAAATCCTACCATAACTTCACCAAAAGAACAAAATACACAATAGAAGACTGCACTCAGGTAAAAAAAGCAGTAGAGGGACTATTGATAACAGACCTCTCATGGACATTTTCCTTGCAATCTTCATGACAGCCCAAAAAGGAAAAAAATGCTTTAAGCCATTTACAGCAGGAACAATCTGGAATCCAAGGATGACGAGAAATCTTAATGATTGGATTGTTGAATCAATAACTGAATTTATGCTAAAACTACTAGGTCAGCACACAAGTTCAAATCAAAGCAATTCCATAACCTGGGTTTGTGATCAATGAGGAAACCTTACAGCTCAGTCTTTCATTTGAAAGCTAAGTTCTAACAACCAAAGAACATTCCCAAGCAGTAGAATCTGGTGTCCTTGTCCTTTTTTAAGTGTTTTCTTTGGTCAGATCCAGTTCCTTGTCTTCAAATTTAGCTTATGAGATTAATAATTTTCTGGGATTTTTTTTTGTATTTATTTATTATAGAGGTACTTACATAATTTTTCTTAGTTTCTATGGTATCAGACTTGCCAGTTATGTAAGTTAAGTCTTGTTTGACTTGTGTTTAAAGTTTCACAGTCATTGGATAAGTATAACAAGATTTATGGTATTTTCTTTGGCCTGAAGCTTACCAATGGCAACTTTATAATTTGGGTGAACAATAATCTGAACCCCACTTTTTATAATATGTCTTCTCAACCACTATATGGACAGGGAATGAATGGAAATTAAATTTTGAATAATGAGACTATTTGAGTGTCTCTTCTGCGTGAGCTATTATTTCTCTCTATTATCGTTAGTTTTTTCGCTCTTCTCTTTTCTCTTTTATTCTCTCCTACAAGTTCACTCAGCTCCAGGCATTTGAGCATCCAAGTCATAATCTTGGAAGCATCAATAGAAAAATGGTGGGGAGAATAAAAAGATAAGAGTATCTCCAGCGGCGAAGTGGAGAAGACATCTTAGTGTCGAAGCAAAGGTTCATCCTCAAGAAGACTGACAAAAACCAAGTAGAGTGATTCTAAAGATCAGGGAGAGAGACAGGGACAGTGTTGAACAATCTTGTTGAAAGGCTTCATTGATGGAGCTATGCATGCCAAATATAGGTCTCAATGGCCAGATCAGAATACTACACAGTACAAAAGAATAAGAACAAGGGAAAATTCCAAGGAATACAAATTTCTGTTCTTGTCATAGAGGAATTTGCAATAATATGCCAATTTCTTATAATGCCATCACAGGAAATACAAGCAAAGATGGACAGCACTTTTACCCAATGTGTCACTCTTCCCAAAATTGTAACTATGAAACCCTCTTTTGCTTGATTTTTATCCTCAAAAATTCTACTATTTCTTTCTTTCCATGTAGACCACACAACTGCTGCTCTTGAACACTAGAAATTATCCCTCTTCTTTGGTGGCGATAACAGTATTACTCTCCATGATCTGAGAACAACCCTAAGAACTGCAGGTGGAAGCTTTTGCCACAACCCAATAAAAAATACAAGCTATCTATCAAAAAAAAAAAAATCACAAAAACATCAATCCACTCTAGAATAATTCCCCAATCAGGCCAAGTAAGTCTTCTCCCTCATATCTTTTCTTTAGTCTCATGTTCTCTCACCATATTTCACCCTAGGAACTTTCAGCATTTGTAAATGTTTTTTTATCAGTAAAACAGAAATAGATTTATTGAGAATAGAAAATTGAATTTATATCAATGAGCAGCCTCGGGTATGTCTCTCTTCTTCTTTCTTCCTTTTTCTTCTCCTTAATCCCATACATATTGTATGGAGAGTTGATTGGTTAATTAATTAGCAAGTATTCAGCCTAGTTAGAGGAGGTTTTTGGAGAAGATTGCAGTGCTTGTTTGGGGCCCAAGGCAGGTTCTTGGAGAGTTTCCCAAAAACCCTAGCTAACTAGAGAGTTTTTTATGTTAAGGGGTATAGAGGAAGTTTGGAAGTGGTGCATGGGGCTAGAATAGAAATATTCTGATTATCTTTGAGATTGATCCAAGTTGGAGAGAATTCTAGAGCCTCTGGTAGGAGCGGCTAGGCTTTCTCTCTCTTCTTCTGGGTGTCGGGTCCAGTGAAATCCTATTTTTGGCTGTTTGAAGAGTAGTTTTGGCCTTAGGGCAGTAAATGCTAACTAGTAACACTCTATTTTTATTTTCGTTTGTCTTCGTTTAGCCAATGGAGCAAACTGAAGGTGAGATGAAAAAATCTACAGATTATGGGTTTGGTTTGGGAGGGTTTGTGGAGGCTCTGTTGGGGTCAGTAATCTCAGTGAAGTTAGATGGGACTAATCATCTGGCATGGTCTCAGTCAATCAAGATTCATGTTTGCAGAAGAGGGAAATGGGACAATGACCCTGCCTATGAAAGGTGGATGTAGGAAAACAATATAGTTGTAGGCTTGTTAGTGAATTCCATGCAACCTCACATTAGTCAACATTATTTGTAGATGGAGATTGCAAAGGAGGTTTGGGACAATGTTACAAAGACCTATTCCTAGAAGTTGAATGTTGCTAGGTCCTACAAGCTGAAGAATGATGTAATAATTTATCACAAGGGGAGAAACCTTTGGTTGCTTACTTCTCTATGCTGAAATCTCTTTGGTAGGAGATTGACTTGATGGAGATTGTTGTGTGGGGGTATACTAAAGAAGTTGATGCTCATAGGAAGTTAGTGGAGAGGAATTGGGTGTAGTTCCTTATTGTACTCAATCCCGAGTATGATATTATCAGAGAAAACATTCTAGCAAAGGATGAGTGACCTTATCTCAAGCTTATACCATGGATAGCAGTAAGGAGAGTAGGAGACAGGTGCAGGCTACAGAAGTCTCAACTGTTCACTTTGCCAATGCTGGGATGAATCCAAGGGCTACCACTAAGAAGAAAGATGTAGTAAGTATTGCAAGAAACCTAAACACACGAAGGATACTTGTTGGAAGCCACATCTGGAGCTTATACCTCCTAGATTTAAGAACAATATTAATGGTAAGAAAAATGAGACTGGGAAGGGTGACAATGCTAATGTAGCCACCTCTTCTAAGGTTGAGAAAGGTTCCAGTGATGAAAAATCAGTGGGAGAATAGCTTGCAGCCACCAGAGTAGAGTGAACATCTGTGATGGAGCTTGAATTCATCTTGGAGTTGTTAAATGGTTTGCATAGTTTGGTAACATTGTAGTGGGTATTCGGAGTCATCTTAAGAGTCTATATCCATATTTGAGTGTCCCTATTGGTTATATGTAGGTTGCACTAACCCAAATGCAATTAGGAGTCATTTTGGCACACTATTCAAGTTGGAACTGGAGTCTGTAGAGGAAGATCCAATTCTGTAGTGTATAAATATAGTCATTGTAATGGAAACAATAAGAGTTGAATTGATAAATAAAAGTTTATTCAAGTAAGTTCCAGTTGTTTCTCTCCTCATCCTCACCCCCAAGTGGTCTGTGGATTCTATGCCTCTGTTCTAATAGCAAGAGTTCTCCTTCCTAATTCCAAAGTGCTTCATTTTTTAAACCAAAATTCCTGATCATCCTTTGTGGACAGCAAACCATCTACTTGCTTCTCTGTCTCTTTTGTTCATCCTTAATCACTCAAATTACCTTCTCTGACCCAAGGAAGTGCATCACCAAATCCAAAATTTGTAGACTCCATACCTGTCCTATATCATACATCCTCTCTCTCCTCCCTATCACTTTTTTTTTTTCTTTTTGATGGGAAACGATAATTTTGATTAATGTTTAAGGAGATTAATTACAACTGTCAACTTTTTTTTGATAAATGAGAGTAGTTTTATTAATTCAAATAACGAAAATACAATCAGCCTAGGAGGAGGCATGAGATGTTACCTCACCCGAGGACTCATATACACTAAACATGCCCAAGCCTGAAACACAATTACAAAGTAGCCCAAAGCAGATCTCCCCTTGATACCCCTTGCTTGGCCAGAGAATCAGCCATTGCATTTGCTGATCTTCTGACCCACTGAAACCTGACAGTCATATTTCCTGTCATCCGTTTAACTTTCTTTAACAGATCCCTGTAGCCCCAACAAGCTGTTTCTGGGCTAATCAGCCAGCCTACTACTACCTTGGAATCCCCCTCTACTAACAGATTGTTCACTCCAATTTGACTAGCCATCTGTATACCTTGTACCGCTGCTAGTAGCTCTGCCCTTACAGAATCACCTTCACCCACTGGTCCTGAAAATAGAGACAACATATTGCTGTCTTTGTCTCTCAGAATCCCACCAATTCCGGATGGCCCTGGGTTACCTTGGCAGCTGCCATCAAAATTCAATTTTACCATTCCATCCGGTGGGGGTTTCCATTCAACTGTCACCTTCATAAACAAGGTGACCCCTCAACCAAAATAAAACTCACGCCCAAAAAAGGTTCTCCCTACTAACTCCTTGGTTTGCTAAAGTATCATCCATTCAATTGGCTGATCTCCAAGTCCATTTAAAACAGACCTCCAGCTCCTTTGTTAGGTACATAGTTTCCCTTACATGTAGTGCCCAAATTGTTTGATTGCATCCATTCTATTACCAATTTCAAATCTCCTTCTACTTCCAAATGTTGGAAACCTAGTTGTTTAGCCAGTTTGAGCCTCTGTAGGAGTTCCAAAACTTCTGCTCTAAGAGAGTCCCTCACACCCATTGGGCCAGAAAACAGAGCCATAACTCTTCCTTCCCCATCTCTCCTCCCTCTCTTTCCTCTAAAAGATGCAATCTATTCTCCTCTTCCTCTTCCTCTTCTCTTTTACATTATATATAAAATTCTACTATTCACTAGGACCTGCTCCAAATCACAGTTCTCCCCCTACTCTTGTTTTCATTGTTCCAAGCCTGCATCCTAAGGGTATAGAACCATATCCATCAATTCATGACAAGCCATGTGGAACCATTTTTTCTTTTTAGATCAGTCATGTGGAAACAATTTTCATGTAGATAGTTCAGAAAGCTATCAGAGATACAAGGAAAAAAATGGATTACCACAAAATCCTGGTACTCAACAATGTTGCTAACATAGTTGCGACTGATTGTCACTTTCAGAATATACCTACAATTTTGCAAGATAACAATGCATGTCAGTCCAATTTGACAATTACGTAATAAGAAGGCACCAGTAGCTGATGACATTGCTGGATTATATATCAGTTTTGTTTTTATAAATTTGGGTTTCATGTAAATGTCCCAGGCAAATCTAGCAAATATATAAAGAAAGCCAAAAAGGGCTTCATTGCATAAGCATTAAGCATTACAACTACACAAGCGCCAACAAAATGAATAGGCATCCAACCTAAGCTTCGGATTGCATAAAGCATTAAGTGATTTACTCTCAAGAAAATCACTTACGTTCCAAGAAGTAACCAAAACAATTAAAATAGACATCATACCTAAGCCTCACATTGACCCCATTGTATGTCTCATATGGCATCTCAACAGAAGAAAATTCAAAAGGATAGGTTTTTCTTTCATATATTTCACCAGGCACTTCAAGTTCACGTACTGTGGACAAGGACAACAATAGTTAGGCCCAAATTAATGCCAGTAGCTTATGTGTAACTTGTCAAATATAGAAATTTCCAATACCACCATAGTCCAGGCTGAGAATGAATTCAAAATTTTGATTATTGATAATTACAGTACTTAAACCATTAAAAATGTAGGAAAGAAAAGAAAGAAAATAGGATGATTTTGCACCAGGTAATAGACTCACCAAGTGAGGTAAAGTCATAAAAGTTGCCCCGGTCAAAGTACAGCTCTGCAGAGAGATAATATAAAAGTTAAAATGGTTAACATGCAAAAATGCAGAAATATAATATCATGCATCTAGGTCAGCAACAAATTGGATTCAATGCCAACAACCACCAAAAAGAATTAAAGAACCAGATTAATAATTATAATGATAGAGGAAAAAAAAGGGGTCTAGCAACATATTATGAATATTACACTTCTCTCAAGTAAACTCCTCTTCTCTTCTCTCGCCTCTTACAATCTTACTCTTCTACTATTCTTATATACTATTGTTTTCTTGTTTCCAGTAATTTATTCATAATCTATATTGCATAATAGTGAAGTTGATTTCAGATCAGGGGAGACAATACTCTTATTTATTCTCATCCATTCATGCGATAGAGCCCTTATGACCTAGGTCAGTGCTCATAATCTAAATATAAACATCTGATCAGTTCGATGTTCTTTTGGATCTCCCAATTTTTGAAGATAGTTTTAAGATTTATTCAGAATTTTCTGTTTAGGCATGTTAGCCTAGAGAAGATTACTAAAAAATTCTCAGAAAAATCAGTTTTCATGTGTGCAGATCAGTGGATGTTTGTAGGTTAAAATTGATGAACTCAGTAGTTACAATTTGACATAGGAGATAGTTTTTCTGCTAGAATCAATCAGTAAGTGATCTGTGATGTTTTGAATATTCTATGAAGATTTATCTATTCATATTTTACCACTGCCTACATCTCGTGTGACTAGAATCTCAATCTGTCAAAACATTTGTGACTTGTCCCATTGCTTCAGGTGACTACTAAAGGTGATTGATTGCGGCTGTGTGATTGCAAGTGCATTATTGTGGTTCTTTGAAGTGGCTTCTTGGAATCAATAGCCCATGGAATTTGTTTCTGATATGAAATGTCAGGTTAAGTGCTATAAACTCTTAAAATAACCATGGTAGTGATCAAATGCATCTACTCATAACAACAATAAAAGGCCTTTTAAATATTCTGGATGGCCTTGTCTTTGATGTTTTAGGGGAAGATAGTAGGTGTAGAGTGTGGTCTCTCAATCCCTCTGGGTCTTTTGATTGTAAATCCTTTTTTTTCTTCTCTTGTGTCCACCCCCATTCCCCTTTCCTTTTCCTGTGAAAGAAATTTGGAGTGCCCCTATTCCCCTAAAAGTTGGTGCCCTTTGTTGGGAAGTTTATCATGGGTGCATCAACACATGTGATATGCTACAAAGGAAAAGGCCAAATTGGTGCTTGCCTCCTAATTGGTGCATCTTGTGTAAGGCAAACGGTGAGAATGCTTTCCATCTTCTAATTTCTTGTTCTTTGCTTGTTGTATTTGGGAATGGTTCTGCTCTCTTTTTGGTTTCAGGTGGAGAGCTCCCCTGGTAACTTGGAAGGCCTCTTTAGTCCATCTCTTCTGAGGAGCATGAAGAGAAGAGGTAGAATCCTTTGGAAGTGTGCAAAGAGCGATGGAGTGGTCAGTTTAGGAGGAAAGAAACCTAAGAATCTTTGAAGAGAGAAAGAAATAAGGAGGCACAAGTGGAGATTGTTACAGTAAGAGCTGCACATTGGGTGAAAACTCAGAAAGTTTTCTCAGACTTCTCAACGGATGACTTCTTCCGGAACTGGAGGTCTATTGCCCTCTCCTCTTCTAGGAAACATAAGGTCTTGGAGACCTGGAGCCCCCCAAGTGGTGGGTGGATGAAGCTGAACTTTGATGGAAGTAGCTTTGGCAATCCAGGGCCTTCCAGAATTGGTGGAGTGTTTTGAGGTGAGAATGGGAATTTATGTGGTTTGTACTCAGGATCTATTGATCAAGGTGACTCAGTGAGAGCTGAATTTTTGGCTGCTATTGTTGGGGTGCAAAAAGCTAAGGATATGTGAATTTCTAGGCTGATTCTTGAAGGGGACTAAAAAATAGTCATTGGCTGGTTGAAAAAAGAAGGGGTTCTTTAGCAATTCAGAAATGATTCCAGAAGATTCAAGATGATCTCACGAAATATGTGAATCCTGTAAGATGGGTTAGGAGGTCTGAAAATGGGTTGGTAGATGGATTGCCTAAGCAAGGAACTCATAGTCAGAATTTGTTTTGGGCTCAATGTTAACTGTATGGGGGGATCTTTGCTGTAAAGGGTCTTTGACCTAACAACTTCTTGTTGTACCTTTTTGTCCTTTAATCTTTGTTACAGAATAGGAAGTAAATACTAGGGAGATATGATGTTACAGACTGTATAAYTAAAATAGGAAGTAAATACTAGGGAGATATGATTTACCTTGATTGTAGGACTGATTTGTAGGAATTTAATTAGTCTTCTTTCCTAACATAGAATTTGTAACTTGTACATACGAGATTGATGAATACATATAACAAATTCTTCTTCTTCCTCTGTTTACTCTTGTTTTACATGGTATCAGAGCATCTTGTCTCTGCCTGCCCTTTCGTTTTTTTTTTTTTTCTAAGTAAACAGTAGGTAGAGGAAAATTTTTGGGTGTTTCGGGTCACCTCCTTGGAGCAGTTTTTTTTACTCTCACCACCCATCCAGGAAGAAGCGCCGCCGATCGGAGGTTCTGCAAAGTCCGGCAGTCAGCAGCCCTGCGCGTGTGTCTCACGCGCCGCCTGAAGATTCTGCCACAGTCACACGCACCGGCGCGTGGAGGCGCGTCTGTCGCCAGAAAATTTTTCGGTCGTTGTCTTTTGGCTCGCCTCGTCCTGTATAGCACATATTTGTGCTTTGTTACGTGCATATCCATTCCGGTGTTTTCAATAGTCTTGGTTGAGGGAGGATGCTCGTTTGTTCTTGCAGATACGCAACTCCATTGAAAGTGAGGTGGTTGGTTTAGTCACTCACTGTGGATTTGTTAAGGAATTAATGAACTATCTAGAGTTCTTGTACTCCGGAAAGGGGAATATTTCCCACATTTATGATGTGTGCAAAGCCTCTTACAGGGCGGAC